TAAATACATAAAATCAATGTTCATCATTTCAGAAAATTAAGAATTAACATATCTCTTAACGTTAGAATAGAGAAATATAAATATCCAATTTTCTTTTATGTTATTTCAAAATATTCAAAGCTTAAAGAATTAAACGATATTTGAATTAATCTGATATTCATAAATTTTTTTAAAAATTATAATTATCATTTGTATATGTTTAATTTCTTATCACAATCAAACTCATATAGTTAAAAGTAACACAAAATGTAGAGAATCTTTTAAAATAAACATTTTGAGAATAAAGTGTAAAATTGAATGTATTGTTCAAAACTTCTCAACATTAATCAAGATATCATATATCATTTATTCAATTTGCAACACACAAAATATATTATTTGAAAAAAATACTTTCATATTATATGAATGCTTAATTTTCTTTCTCAACTAATTTCTTATTTAGTTAAACTCAAAATAATTTCAAATGCTAATAATAAAATTTATTATCAATAAATCACAATAAGTCAAAACTAGTATTAGATGAGATCATATGAATAGGATATAAATGAACAAACTATGAATAGTATATCATCTCTTTAATTTGCACACAAATGGCACAATCAAATATCAATATTAGGCTATTCTATTACTGTAAAAATAAATTATATTCACATTTCATATTCTTAAATGTGCAAATAAATTGTCACATTAAATTAATATTTCAAAATGACAATAGCTACTTTTTTTTTGGTATATTTAGTTTCACACCACTCTTGTATATTTTTCTACCAATCACTCGCAAAAAATTAATACTAATAAAAATTAAATATCATATAACTTTCAGGGCTTATGATTATATCTTTCAACTTTAATTACTTTGGGTATCTTTCGTCATAAGTCATTGCCTTGGGCATGATAACTATATTTGGTATTTTTCATAACATCTCATGGTCTTTTTTGGTTTCATAAGCAATTCTAACATTTACTTTCAATGTATTAGTATATATATTCATCTATATGACTTTTGGTCATATTATAACATTTGCTCATAATTATTTTTTACTATAGAAGTATTACTATTTCCTCAATTATGGTTTGATAGCCAAGATTCGGAATGAGTACGCTTTAAAAGCATCTTTCCCTGTTTTGATCGATGCATTCAAGCTCACCTAACTTGGTTCTAGTGTTGTGAAGATTATTGCCCTTCAATCATTAATTTCACTAGTACAATGTGATCATGTTCTTTATCACCTTTATAGACATTTTTCTTGCTTCACATAATCAATTTCTTCAAATATTAGTCTTTAGGATTATAGCAGAAATCTTTTAAATAAAGTTCTTTTATGCCATTTGATATTTGAACCATTAGCTTTTAGAGTTTTGATATCTATCACCATGTAGCCTTTAAGACTTTGATATTTATCACTATTAAATTATCAAAGTGTTATAGATTTTTCTTATCCTACTATTTAAAGACACCTATATTGTTCTTTTACAAAAGAACTATTATAAAATTTATGTAACTTCTAGTGACCTAATCACATGATCAAAAGTATTATGACTTCCAGTTATTCAATAAAATGAAATTAAAATAATATTGTAACTAAACAAATTAATTAAATTCAAATTCATAATTAAATATAAAGACACAAATAAATTTATATATAAATTACATTATATAATCATATACAATATTATGATAGATGTAAAACAAGATAAAATAAACCAGATAGATATATATAAATAAACAACATAACAAGAAGCATTGAAAAATAACGAAATTAAAATGTATACAAAGAATAAAGTAACAAATAATGTAAAAGAATAGCAATAATATATAGCAAATGTATAGAAAATTATATACTATGAGAATATATCACTTAACAAAGTTCATACCTCAAATCTTCAGAACAAGTTTGTACTGATAACGTGTTATGAAAATAAGAAAAATATAAAAATTGAGATGGGGGGAGATAGAGAAAATAAGAGGATATTGGAGGAGAAAATAAGAAGAAATTTTCATTCACTTTATTATCTCAAATATGTGTACATCATCTCCTATTTATAGGACCCCAACATTGAAGACTAATCTAAAGAGTTACAAATACATAAAGAAGTGAATTAAGCAACACAATTGTACAATTGGAGGTTATAAGGAATAAATACTAAAAACCTTCACTTTGGAAGTTATAAGTATAATGCCATTAACCATTAAATGGAATCCTAAGAGGCTATAGAATTATGCACATCCACGTAACATAATATTAACCATTAAATGGAATCCTAAGAGGCTTTAGAATTATGCATATCCACGTAACGTAATATTTATAACACTAATTATTAATTAATAGCTATTATAAACTCATTAATTAATATTTTTTTTCAAAAGCCTTGCAACATGAGGGTTGAGGCCATTTGTATTTTGAACTGTCATTTTCTATTGTATTTGTTACCATGAAACTTTCTATTATTTTGGAATAAATTTTCAATTCATGATTGTATTTGTTTGGTTGAAATGAAAGTATCATTAAAATAAAATAAAATAAATAGAAAGATGAATGAATGATTGTACCTCTAAAATTTTTGTGGTGAAAACTTTATACCTCTAATATAAAATATATAAATAAAAATTATCCTTCTTGAATTTAGAAAAATATTTTTCAATCATCAGTAGTAAAATAATAATTTTAAATAAAATAAAATAAACAACATCATAATTAATCATAATGAAAAATAATTTTTTTTCCAAAAAGTTTTGCATTCACAAGATCAATTCGTTCTTGAATAACAATCTTATTTGAACTTCGGAAAAACAGATATATTACTCCCTATTTGAAAAGTATTTTAATATTATTGATTATAGTAAGTTTGAGTCTCAATTTATCTAATCTTTTAATATTAAAATGGTATGTTATCATTCAACATACCTTCAGTCCCATACATAAAGCATCTATTAAAAGATGTTGTTGATGGTTTTTGCTAGGCATTTGGTAGTTTTATAAACTATCGAATATTTTTCATCCATATATACTCATATTTATTTAGGTTAATGACATAGAGTAGACATTAAAACTCCAATCCTACATATAAAATACTGCCTCCAATTCTTAATATGTGAGCTAATTAAGTATTGGATTTGGTCTTGGACATGAGACATCAATTATCTCTGTCTCATTTTTTTTTTTAAAATATCCCTATTGATTGTAAGAGATTTCCACCAAGATGTCATTTTAATACACATAATTAAAGAAGATGTTTTAAAGAAGTTAATATACATTTATTACAAATAGTTAATTTAACTAATTTTTTTAATTTTTTTAAATTAGTTATCTAGCTCTTATATTAAAGACTCTTGAAATTTTAACCAGCTTTTTTTTTTTCTCTTTTACCTCTATTTTATTAATTATAGTTATCTCCTTTTTCCTATTTATTCTCTCTTTTACCCACTTTCACTCCATAAATAAGAACATTTTTACAAATAAAATACATTTTTTTATAAACTTATTGCCCTTGACAAGTTTTAGCCAAATTTTTTATCTGCATAACTTGGTTATTTGAATATTACATATAAGACCAAAGAGAATATGATGTTAGAATTTAATAAATTTAATAATATTAAAAATTACCTGTATAATTTTGTCATAAATTTAATACTTTCAATTGTTTATTGGTGAAACAACTTATATTTGAAAACAGACCCACTCCATTTTTATTCTTGGAATCTCAAACCATATCATTCAACTCCTGATGGGGTGTTCAACACCAATATTGTGGAAATTGGGATTTCAAAGCAATGAGAATATAAACAAAGATAAATCAACCAAGCAAATAATTTGTGACATTCCTTTATTCCTTCTCCTGTACTCTTCTGCATTTCCTTTCCCTAGAACAAATGGAAACTAAAATCTCAATCTAAAATCTAAAACTGAATCTTAAAATCGGTTGTAAATTTTCGCTTTTTTTTTTTCATTGGTTAACTTGAAAATTCCTTGCAACTTATGCGTTAGATGTTGTCAATTTGACTAATATAGTAATTTTTCTTTATTAGAATCTTGCACTTGTCAATCAAGATTAATATCTTTTTTTGTTATGCAATATTATGTGAGTTAAGCTTTAGGGGCTTACACTTGTCAGAGTCAACATATGCTTCCAAACTCATAAATCACTTATAGAAGTACTTACAAATTATCACCAACAAGATCCTCACATTGATAATGGATTTCAAACTCACAACCTGATAGATCATGAGTTGACTTTTTACCAACGAGGCAACTCTTATTGGAAATCAACATCAACACATATATAATAATTGTTCGTCTTAAGTGGACTCCAAAATGGCTCACTTAGCCTATTTAAAATAACTTATTAGTAGTTTTTTAATAATAATTTATAGAATACGATATAAATATATAACCAGAATTTTATCTTGATAACATGATGTCAAACAGAACCCATATTCATTTCACTGTTCACTAGGGCAATGTGGTTTGGGAAAACAATTGGGCTTCGTGTCATTCGGCTTAAACGAATGGCCTCAACCAGAAAGTGAGGCAGACACCTATACAATGTGGACATCACAAAAAATCAAAACGAAGGTTTTGAAAGCTATTTCATTTTCTCTTATCAGCCTTCACATGTCAGACCAAAGAGGCTATAAAGATTAACAATGGCCTTAAATTCTCAAAATTTAAAGTGTAGCTAAAAGAAACACTTGTCTATCTTGATAGAGGTGGTCTTTCTTTTATCGTTTGGTGAGTTGAATCATTTGCTTGCTCAATACAATATGGATAATACCATGTAAAACTCTAATTTTCTCAATATCATTTTGTCTTACTCCAGAAAAAACCACATAACCTGCCTCCGATCCGAAATGTAAGATGTACATTATAATATAATTTACACAACAAAATGAATATTATATTTAGGACAAGAGGGATTTTTTTTTTTTAAGGATAAAAAGACAATTTTTTTTTTTGATAGAATGCATCTGGTATTTAACCAACATAGAATGATAGAAGAGATTTCTCAAAAATATATATATTTATATATCTATATCCATAGTCGATGTCAGTATCATGATATTACCAACATAAGCCAGTACTGCAATGTAATGTAACATATAATCTAAAAGATGCTCCTGAATGTGCAGAGAGTAATGATGATTTCATTATTCTCTTCCAATGTCTATAGGCAACATGTAAGGGAACTTGCATGAGGATACTCATTGACTTCCCGGAAGCCTTCCCCTGGAAACCATGTGCTCTGATTTCTGTACCCATTAAGAAAGGCCAAATGTATATGAAACATTACTAAAGGACATTAAACATATAAAAATACAGCGTAAATTAGTTGCAGAATTGTCAGTATGCTTAATTTGTTAACTGATGATGCAAACTCAATTTCTGAATCCATTTACCCATAAGTCAAAAGAAAAGAAAGGGAGATAAATGCATTCAGATATTCTCATGCAGCCTCTGGCTCATCAACCAATGAGGGCTAACACAGACATGTTTGAGCTGAACATCAAGACTCTAGTGGCTGACCAGATGCAAAAAGACTCAAGACTACAATCTATGAAACCACGACGACAACAACAGAGGAAATTTTTCATAATGTTTGCGGTCAACAACTAAATAAGACTAAATAAATAACTAAATAAGACTTGACTGTGGCTCGCTAATCAGTTTGTTGTCAAGGGAAGAAATTTTTTATAATGTTTTTTTATCAGTCTTTCAATAGATCTTTGTTCTCTGCAGCAAAATCCATCTAGGAAAAATAAATATGCAGCAACAGACCTGCTCAGTATATGGCAAATATTTCCCATCAAATGTTACCACCACACGATCCTTCCCATCGACTCCTTTAACTTTGTCAACTGAGCAGTAGAAGTCTATAGCTGACATGCTACACAATAAAGCAACAGTGAGATAATATTTTCAAGCCAGCATTTACAAACAAGAACAGCTGATGAATCGGTCATGGTGTGTTTTACCAACCCCAACGTTATATTAGGATTGCGAGTATTCTCAACATCATAATGGGATAGCGGTTGATTAACTCAACAATATTATGTGCCATCTATTATATCTTTTGCAAAATGTTCTAACGTTTTGGGAGGGGGGGGGGAAGGAAACTGGAAAAAAATTCCTTAATACTGACAAGAATGAGCCACTCCTACATGAAGCACAAAATTCACATAAAAATAAAAGTTAGGACAAAGTAGCATCCAACACCCTAATGTTATTTTCCAATTGCATCCAACACCTTAATCTTATTGATGATGTATCCAGCACCTTGACGTTATTTTTCCCATAAGATTAAGGTCCTAAACTATAAATACGATTAGGGTGCTGACTATGACTGGACAATAACATAAGGGGTGCTAGACGCTACTTTATCTTATAAATTATAAAGAACCTATGGATTACGAAAAGAGACACAGACATGGACATGTCAAACTTCAATTAAGATATATACACGCATAAGCATATACGTATATGTATATATCTTCACCTGAATCACGACCCAGAAACCATGTTTTCTTACCTATCAACATCTCTTGTACACAAATATTTTTATTATTTAACAACATACTATATGTAATTTCCACAGCAAGATCATCACATAAAACTAGGAAGAACTGGAAAAGTGCGTAACTAACAGTGATAAAGTAATTTAAATTGGAACCAGAGGGGATTAATTTCTAGAGCTAAACGAACATTTCTTAAAAACTAAATTCTGTTTTATTATTTACCTATAAGGCAGGAAAATCAACAGAATTCTGCTCATAGTATTTTCAATGATAGAGATATACAGAAAAGACTAACAAAAAGATCATTGTAACATAGATCTAAACTCCACCATAATATAGATCAGAACTTACATCCCATCTCCAAACTCCTCATTGACGATTTCCTTGATGCTTTCCCCAAAATGCATAACAGCTTCGTTCAACCTATAAAATACGAGATCAATATAAACCAACAACATCAAGTACCAAAAGAATCAGAGCCGATAACTCAAAATGTCAAATTGCTCAATGCCCGTCAGAGTAACATGCTTTACTGATATTACCGCACACATTTACAACACAAAAATTGTTTTCACCAAATACATCAGGAAATGCTCAAGATAATTACCTCCTACATTTTGACCTATCAAAATAATCTGCCACTGCCAATACTCACTTCTTCCACAAAAACGGGATTGTGTTCACTTAACACCAGCTTGATCATTAATAAAGACTGATATTTTAACCAATCAGCTATCTTAAGACTTCTTGCAAGAATCCTATAAGTAAAATTCTATATGTAGCAGGCCTGTTTAAGATTGGATGAGCAGAGTATTTAACCCGATCAAGGTCCAGGAATACCCCTACACCTAATAACCGGAAAAAAGACTGAAATTTAAGGCTAACAACAGGATCTTCATCTCAGAAGGCAAAATCGAGGAGATCCAAGCAATCTAATAAAGGTGTTGTACCTGTAAATGGTGGGTTCTTGGATAAGATTAGGGTCAAAAGACCTCATGGGGGGTTTCATCATCTCATGCACAAGATCTTCGGGCAGGTCAGGCAACGCTGCCCGCAACTTAGGGGCAGTCTCAGGCTTGAGCTGAGCTTGACGCCTGAGAAGTTGGGCAACATAGACATTGGTGAGTCCAGTGTCCTCAGCCAACTGATTGTAGGACTTGCCACTCTTGCGCTTTATAGCCTGAAGGCGGCCCGTTATGGTGCTTTTGTTCTCCTCCATTTCTGTGGAATCAATACGGAATTGCCAAGGCGAGTTAGATTCCTCTGCGCTTTATCCAATTAGCGAACACCCTTTTTCTAATCTTATTACAGCCTCCTAGCTGGGCAAGCCAAAAAAAAAAAGACATCGTATTTGTTTAAAATCGGAAAGAGGCAGATCTAGTTGACAATCAATTAGGCTATTAGGCTATGTTTGGTTGAAGGGTTATTGAGGGGAGGAAAGAAGAGGGGATAAGTGTGTTTGGTTGGAAAAAGTGTTTGGTTGGAAAAAATAAAAGAAAGGGGAGAAAAGAAATTTATCTTTTAATGCTCCCCTCTCCTCTTTATGCTCCCCTTTAAATTTGAAGTTTTTTAAAAGGGAAAAAAATATTATGTTTGATAGTGACTAAACTACCTATGCTAACTTTTTAATATTTCAAATTTGTCCCTTTTATTAGAAATCTATTTTTCACCTCTTTTTCTTTTCAGCCACTAATAATATAATATTATAATTATATAATATATACATATCATATATATTAATATATACATATCATAACATATGTGTATTATAATTATATATCATAGCATGTGTATTATAATCTTAGATAGATTGCAAACATGCATATATATTAATATATACATATCATAACGTGTGTGTTACAATTATATAATATATACACATCATATATATTAATACATATAATTACAGAATTAATGAGATATAATGTTGAACTTTTTATCATATTTCCTAATTTTTTTTAGTTTGATCATAATATTTTTTTTATCACATATAAGTGAGGTAATTGGTTTTTTTGAAATTGATAAATTAAGAAATAATAATTTTGATATAGATATTGTAATAAAAGAATAAAACAGTCTAAATATACAGATAACAACATATTTGTCAATTTATAATTGCTTTCCCTCTCCTCCTCTTATAAAGCAAATAAGAAATCTCCCCTTCCTTCTCCTCCCCTCCCACCAAACAAAATCCATGACCTCCTTTTTCCTTTTCTCCCTTTTCTTTAATTAACCTCCCCTCCCCTCCTTTCTCTTTCGTTGAACCAAACAAAGCCTTAAGATTCGGATTCCGCAGGTCACGTATTATGTTTTTTTTTTTGTTATCAATAAAATAGATTACTGTGTAACATCTTAAATTTTATACCACGGACTTAAATATTTTTTTTTTTAAAAAAAGGTTCCAAATTGTTATTTTCTCCGTTTTATTTTGGGTCTTTAACTTTAGTTGACCCCGAGTGACTTCTTTTAACCTTCTCCGGTCATTTTTTTTCTCTTCTCCTTTTCTCTCTCCGCGTTCATTCCGCTTGCTGCGTCGCTCATCTGCTCTCCCTTCTTTCTTCATCATTTCAGATAGTTTTGGTAAGTAAAACTATTTCTAATTATAAAACTTCCTTTATAAAAATTGTTCTACTCAATCATATCTATCTAATGATAGTAATTTTGTGTTGCTTAGAGAAAATTTTTGGTATAGAGTTTGGAACAAGTATTTAGTTTAGATGAGTGTTAATCACAGTATTGTAGATCTGTTATAGTAGATCATTTCTACTGGTTTAGATTTGTCTATTTATTGATTTTGGTATTTAAAAATTAATTTTTAATTAAAAAATATGTTATTTATGATACATATCATATTTATACCGATTAAAATTAAGTTAAATAATTTATTTGGGTTGTTTGATATATTCTTAAAATTTTAATCGGTTTAGTTTTATTTATTGAGTGACTGGAGGTTTTAAAATAATTATTGTAGTTAAAGTTTCTTATTTATGAAAAAAACATATATATGCCATTAAAATCTTGGTTTGATTATTTATATATATAAATATTTGACACACTATTGAATTTTTGATGGTCCGATTTTGAGGCTTAAATTTTAAATGAGATTTTTAGAATTTAAAATATACTAATTTCATATTTAGAAATTTTAGAAAATTCTTTTTATTAAAGTAAATAAGTTGGGGGATGTAAATAAATAATTTGGCTTGTTAGAAAATTACCAATTAGTTCTAAAGTACTTAATTTTGGATTATAAGAGTTGTGAGAATTTAGAATGATAATTAAATTAAATTAGGAATTTAACTAATATATAAGCTTAATTAATTAATTAGTTTATGTTAATATGTGGTTATATTAATTGTGTAGATTAATTATTGGTTGAGTAAATGATTGACCTTGTGGTAATCCTTAGTATTGCTTTGGCGAAAGGTAACCACTTTCCACTTGTTATATGTGCTAATATATTGTTTGTGAGTATTTTGCTATTTTAGAATAATATTTGTTATTTGGAACTCAAGTAGATACGTTATATCTGTTGAGCTATGAAAATTGTCTTGTGAGATTTTTGGAATTGTGATTGAGAAATTTGGAAAAGATATATGATTTATATCTTATGGATTATACTGAGAAAAGATTATTGAGATATTTTTCATTATATTGTGAATGATTAATTATTATTTAGATTTTGGATTGAGCACTATCCTACCACGTGGTAAGGCCGCCATTGGTGCACATTGGTTGGCTTCTTCTTTCGTCCCTCATAGTGAGGGATAGGCCTTTGTGGCTTCTTATTCGTCTCCCAAAGTGAGAGATAGGCCCATATGTTTGATTGATCCCCCAGAGTGAGGGATAGACTTATGTGGCTTGTGTGTTGACCCCCATAGTGAGGGTTTGGATGATTAAAATTATATTTTTATGGATATATCTATGTTTCTTGAGAATTAATAACTATCCCACTTGACATCTCACGAGCACGTGTTAGTATGTATGATAAGTTAGAAAGTTGGTTACTGAGGCATTTGTCTCATCCCGTGGTTTAACATTTTCAGGCGATAATTCAGGTGGTGGCCCATCAGAGAAGGCTTCGGAGGCATAGTGTACTGTTATAGCTTGTATAGCCTCCCTGCTTTTGTTCTATGTGCTGACTTGTTATATATTGCCACATAGGGCTCATCTACTATCATGATGTAAAAGAATACTTTTAATTACTACTATCTGGTATGATAGGGCCGCAAGGAGGCCCAAGACATCTTAGACTCTGCATGTAACGCTCTTTTGAAAGTGTTGACTTTTGACTAATGAGCTCTATAATTTATATTAAACTGATTTATCAGTTCGTACATTTGAAAATATAAGTTTGGTTTGGGCTAATGGTTGAATGATATTTCTGAACTTTGAAAGTCCAAGGCCCAAGTGAACGATTGATGTGGCTCGTAATATAAGTTTATTTTCTTTAACCATGATAGCGATTTTAAAATTTTAAGGTTTCTTCTTTTCTATAATGGTTAATCGTTCGAATAAATTGAAATTTTGATCTAAATGGGTTTTAAAAGAATGGTCGTCACAGTTTCTTTTCTTATAAAAAAAATAGATATATTTATGCTAATCAATAGCTTTTCAATTTCAATGGTAATTTATGAAATATAAATATACGAGAAAAGTTTGATCTTGAATCATATGAAATGTGTGATTGGAAATGTGGTGACAATCTTTTCAATAAACATATGAATGTTTTCAATAAAAGAAAAAAAATGTTGTATTTAATCCTAAAAAATAATTAATGCATTCTTCTTTATTTTTACCCATAGTAAATAACTCTGATTTACCTTTTTCCCACTCAATCTCCCTATCTTTTACACATTTATAGCTTTTTTAAGATAATAATTACACAATCTTAACTTTTAATGAGTTTAGTTGTCGCTTATTCGGCTCATTCTATTTATAAGACATAGGGATACTCTTTTTCATTAGCTTTATTTATAAATTATTTTATTAAATTTTTAAACATAAATATGTTATTTCATTCTTTATTTGTTATAGGACAGGTAATTATTTTTTTAAAAGATGTATATATATTAAATATGAATAAAATATAATTTAATATTTTTTTAATTTATGTATAATATGTTAAAAATGTTTTATACATAAAAATATAGTATTACCTCTCGTTCTAAATATAAGAGTTAGTTGACCGATTTGAGTGGATTGAGAAAATAAGTTAAGTTAGTTATTTGTAATAAATAAGTATTATTTTTTCTAAAATATCTTTACTAATCAAATTTATTGTCTAGAACTACCATTATTAGAATGACTAACTTAAAAATAAATAAATAAATAAATATAAGAGTAAAGCGAATTAAAATATTATATTTAGAATCAAAATAAAAATTAAATAAGATGTTATTCTGTTTACCGGAGGTAGTAGTATAAAGGAAGGGTGGGAGTAACATTTTTTTTTGTTGGCTTTTTTTTTTGAAGAAAAAGATTAAATGTATTTTCTCCTTCAAGTTCCGCAAAACGAACAAGATGTCCGGCAGTTATTAACTTCGATTGTGTGGCAATTCGCATTCAGAAATCCGAACAGGGCAGAAGATGATAATGCAATACTTTCCTCACTCTAATTCGACTCAATTTATTTTGCCTTCTCAATCTGCATCATCTCCCTCAGCTCACAACGTTCTTCCCTCTTCAATTTCGTCTTTCTCGTCTTCAACCACAAGAAGAAGAGTTCTTTCTCTCTCTCTCGTCTCCGCCGCTTCTTTCTACGGCTTAATCTCCTCTCTTCCTCCTCCTTCGTTGGGCTCATCTTTGTTATCTTCCTCTTCTTCGAAATTCCCTGTATCTGACTTCTTTGAGATCCCGAATTCGGGTGGCGTTAAGGCTTTAGACCTGCTTGATGGTTCTGGGGAGGTTCCCACCAATGGAGACCAGGTATTTCTTTCTCTTTATTGATTTATAAGTCTCTGCTTCTTGTTCCGTGCAGTATTATATACTAATGCCATCTAATGCTATTTGCTTCCTTTCTTGGGTGAAATCATTTATTGTTGCTATGCGCATGCTGTTTGTTTGCTCAAGGAGTATCTCTTATCCTCTTCATCTGCATCTTTCTTCTTTCTTAGCATAATTAATAATTTCTTCTTTTATACTGTTATTCAATCTGAAGAGGAGTCCTAAAATTTTCCATTTTTTAGCATTTGAGCTGGTGTGATAATCATAAATGAATGCGTCATTTTCGAAAGTCTAATGTATGCACTTTAAATTCAGATTTCTCAATTGGTGAAAAATAAAATCTCTTGATTTGAAGGTTGCAATTCATTACTATGGACGGTTGGCAGCTAAACAAGGATGGCGTTTTGACTCAACATATGACCACAAAGATGATACTGGTGAACCAAATCCTTTTGTTTTCATCCTTGGTTTTGGGAAGGTGAGCCTGAATGTCAATGATTAACATTGGCCTCCTCATAGATGTCCAATCGGTACACTAATAGTTAAAAAAAAATTTGAAGCTATTTGGTAACAGTTAGCCAGAACAAAGTAACACTGTAACAGTATCGCCACAGAGAGAGAGAGAGAGAGAGAACAAAGTAACATTATTCAGAGATTTATTATATCCTACCCTCCTTTATAGTAATGGATTTTAAGAGCTTTATAGATGCCAAGGTAGATTTTATTATATCCGTCTTCTCATGTTGTCTTCGTGTGAACATGACAAAAGCTGCTTATTTTTCAGTTGAGACAACCTTGGCTGGCTCGTGGTATAGCCATTTCTGACATGATGCTTGTTAATCACTATTTACAGTATATGGCATTTAAGAAAGATAACTTTAGATGTTACTTTTGCGATCCTCAAGGTGTGACTTAAATTGTTGAGTTAATTTAGATTTTAAATATAAATCTATTTATCATATTTATTAATTTTTTTTAAATTATCTCTATTGATATTCTTTCAATTATAATCAAATAAGAAGAAAAGGGAAGATATTAAGGAAGATGATTATAGTATTTTAAGAAAAACATGTTATATTTCTTATAATTAACCAACTTACCTGATTTTCTTAATTTAACCAAATTAGTTAAATAGGTCTTATATTAAAGATTAAAAGAGTTTTTTTTTCCGTGAAAGATTACTTAAGAGGTTAAAAATTGGCATATTTTGGTTGGTGAAGGAACTAGGCAACACGAAACTACGAATTGTTTGGGCACATGCCTACATGGTTTGCTAAATTAGTCAGGTTTAATCGGCTTAGTTTGGATGTTGAACCTAGTGTTTGTCTTCCTAAAACATAATATTGTTATGCCGGCATTGCATGCCATATGCAGGTCATTCCAGGAATTGAGGCAGCCGTGAGATCAATGAAAGTAGGTGGCATCCGTCGGGTCATCATCCCTCCTTCCCAAGGATATCAAAACACGTCACAGGAGCCCATCCCACCCAATGTGAGCAATTTTTTTCATACCTAAATTTATGATGATGCCTTGACTTTCTAGTTGGATAACTTTAAAATAGTTCTTGTTTAATTAAAACGCATGTCAAACTGTTATAAACACACACACAGACACACAGACATGGAGACCTAGAAAGAGTGTAAATTTTTTGTTTGCTTGTCTAAATCTCTGTGTGACTACCTGACTCTTGAGCTGCAAAGCCGTTCTTATTGTGAATAAAACAAAAGTGTGGACTGAAGTGTCCCATCAATTCTTGGCACTTTAAAACTTAACTCCAGAATTGAAACATACAGCAATGTCACCTGTGACATGTTCATAACTAGAAAGGAGGCCACAATTTTTTCTGATGCGTTTAGCGGAGACTTGGAAGAACTTTTAAGGGACTCCAGTTATATACAATTGAAGAAATGAAGATGTTTTTTGTGTTTGCTTATTTCTATCATAATCAAAATGAAGCAGCGTTTGGTTGTAGTACTGCAGAAGTATTGTCAAAAAGCTCTGCTGCCAGAAGTAAAAAAGTGCATGCAATGTACTTGCAATTAGTTTTAGGAATTTTTCATGTGTGACAAGTTATCATGGTTGAATTTATTGTAAGAACATGGGAAAGAGAGAAAAGGCCCCGCTAGTTTACTTAAATTACATTGATGGCAAAAAAGAAGTCTACTTAAACTACATAACAAAGTTCCCTGTGTGACTTTAACTTGTAGAAAACGTTCAAGTACTAAGAAAGTTTAAACTAGTTCACATCTACCTGGCTTTATTGTGACACACTTGCTTTAACCTGGACCATCAAACTGTAGTTGCACTCCCCTCAAGTAAGAGCATTAAAATCATTCATGCACAAACTTGTTAACAATCTGCGCACCAGTCTTTATGCTCAATAAAATTTTTGTGTTTCACTTTCTTTAGGAGTTACCGTTTATGTACCAATGAGACTTAAAAAATGCATTAACTTCCCTTTTACTTTTCATTCTTCCCACCCAACACTGCCCTAGGTGATGATAAACTCCCAACTTATTTTCCTCAAGTATCCTTCGGTAATAATCTCAAACTTGCGTCAAAGGGAGCTTTACATGTTAAATGAAAGGACGGTTTACTAATTGCTTTATGGATTAGAAAAAGCTACCCTGTTTATTAAAATTTGGTATTTCTTCCCTGTTAGTTTTATATGATTTATATTTTAGCATGGAATTTTTTTCCAATGTTTCTTCTGTCGTTCAAACAGTACTTATCATTGTGGTAAATAGTAATCCTTATATTTCCTTCCCTGTTATAAAAGTTCTTTGACAGGCAAAGGCTGTTCACCACCATTTTTAATCCAACGCGTCTTGCAAATGGAGAAGGCTCCACTTTGGGAACACTTATATTTGATATCGAATTGGTTAGTCTGAGACATCAGTGAAGTCAACCTGTATGAACTAGGCGTGCAGAACACAAAATCACGGTCCACTTTCAAGTATTTTGTACAGACAATAATTGGGAATCCAGCTTAGTCACCGCTACTATCTACCGCCTGCCGAAAGATCAGAGGCCTTGTTCTTGGGGTTTTGTCACCTTAGACTTCAATATCAAGTCACTGCATATAGATTGTTTCTTCTTTAATGATGAGATCATTATTGGGCAATAGAACTTTTACACTACAATTAATAAGAAAGATGAACGGTGTATAAGCTTGCAGTAATACTAAATCGCTAACTAAATAGCTTAAGCTATGTTTGTGCCCGATGGTTTATCCATGGAAGAAGAATCTGGAGCCTAACAGCCACAAGATTCGAGGACTCATGTTTAAAATAAATAAACTATAGAACTGAGGCTTCTGATGTTTAATGGTGGGCGTGTCCCCCGGGGGGGGTAAATTCGTTGTCTAGAGTCTCATGATGATTTTTAACAACTCGGTTCAGTTTCGCTAGAAAGCATTTGTAATATTCTAAATGCTGTGATTTGATATGAGGGAATATGTTATGAGTTTCATATCAGGGAGCCTCACAAGTGCTGTGAAGTTTATAAGTTTAAAAGACTATTTCTTCTAATAAATTAGTTTTTTGGAATTAAGCTCTTTCTTAAGTTTATATTCATCACATTTGTGTTTTCATTGCTGCGGAGGGTTTTGACCGGAGGGACCAAGACTAAGTAAAGTGCCGTAGAATGAAGCCGCTGATACTTTGGGCTTATGCTCATCGCAGAATACACTTTGTGATTGTGCAGACTAAGGAGGATATCCTAGACTAAGTCTAAGGATGTGAAAAGGAATTAGTTTCTTGATGATATTTCCTGTCCTGTCAATAAAGTTATGTTACGTTGTCCGGCTTTAAATTTCGTTAGTATGTGTGTGTATGAAATTTTTGTTAGATTTATTAATGTTTATTTGTACCATTAAGTAAATTTAATCGATATAAACTAAATGCTGTCATGTGAGAGAATACATGCTTATGATGGTTACAGGAAAGATTGGTTTCTTGTCAACAAAGTTATGTCACATTGTGCAATCTTAAATTTCTTTATTACATATGTTTTATTAATATAAATATGGTTTTCTTATTAAACTAATTAATGTGATCTTATGCATTGCATTTGACTATTTATAACTTAAAATAGTGTTTTTTTTGTTTACCAAAACTTAAAATAGCATTATTTCTTTTTTTTTTTTTTTGAATTTGTATATAATGTACAGATATATAGATTTAATAATGTTTATTTGTACCACTTGTCATGTTTACAGGAATCCATTTAACGTATCTAAGCTAACTAGAATTGACTAAAATAAATAAAAAAATCAAACAATTTCAAGACTAGTTTCTTAACTAATACAATCAATTTTAGTTGTCTGATTAACTAGATTTAATTCAGTCAAAACAAAACAAAAACAATCTCTGTTTTTTTTTGGTTGATAAATGAAGAAATTATTCGGTGAAAAATATAAAGGTCGTTCTCAAATTATTTTTTGCCGTTATGTTCTTGAAATTGATCTTTTACATTCTATATTTACATAAGAGTATTGAAATAGTTAAAATTAAATAGTATATAAACAGACATGAAATTAACAAAAAAAATCACTTTGAAAAAATTATGAATTGAAATATATTAGATTTATCAAACCAATCAAAATTTATTTTTGATATACTACTGGGGAAATGACAATTATATCTTAAATGAATGTTTTAAATTTTAATGACATTTAGATCCTTAACAAAATATTTTAAAAATCAAGTTGAAAATATTAATTCAGACATTTGTAAACAGCTGTTTTAGTTAGAATTTGAAAGTTACATCTGAAACTTAAATCTATTATCGGAGACTTTTGAATTTATAATTGTTTACGTCAATATGCATAACTTATTTTTCAAAAATGCAAAAAAAAAAAACTTATTTTAAAAAAAATTTGTTGAAAACTTAATTGTCAAAAACTCTTTTTTTTTGGTTACCTAACTGTAACTCTCCTTGAGGCTGAGTGAGACTGATTTGGCTTAGCTAATGGGTAACTTCTGACTCAAATTTAAAATTCTGCTTAAAAAAAAAATAAAGAGTATAAAAATTAAATAAATCTATTACACGTTGGCAAAAAAATAATAAATCTATCACAATATGTTTTCTTATTCAAAATCAAGTCTAATAATCGAATTTAACGTAATCTGTAAGCATTAATATAAGGACTGTCCTGGACGCTAAATATCTGTTATCGTTATCGTTTAGAGTTCAGATTTTGAAGCTGGGGACCTCAAACATGAGACTCCTGCTTGTCATTTAAAAAACTGTTTTTTTAATAAGAGAGAGAGGGAGAGGCTCTCACACATTCTACTTTCTGGTAAGGCCGTCCATCTAAATTATTGGGGCATGGAATAGGGTCCCCTTTTGCCGACTTTTTTTCTTAAAAAAAAAAAAGTTTTTAATTAAATGGACAAGTACTAATAGTTTAAAGTTGTACAAGGAAATCGAATTAAAAAAACTTCTGCCCACTTTGGCCTTTCACATTTTATATTACCAATAATAATCTGTCTTATTTATTATATATAATATGAAATTTATAAAAATAGCAAAAATGTTATAAATAAAGCTTGACCCACTTCAAACTTTATATAATTAAAATACCGACTCATATCACAATATATTCTATACCACAATTCCCTTGCATCCCTTTCATGTGGTACTTTGTCATAAGAGGCATAAATAATTAAACAACGTCAACTTTGTCAGGGTATGTCTACCTGATCTTTCGGAAATTATATTTTTAAGAAAAAGAATATACATAGCTCAAATCTAAACCTTATCCAAGTGTGATGAACAGTGTTACGTATGGGGCAACTAGTCATTGACATGTTTATATATGTGTGTGTTTAGTTATAGTTAATAAAAAATATGATTATTGTCTCCCATGAATCTTTAATTAAAATTAATACAGTCAAATACTACTGCATAAAAATATAATAAGTCATAAGTAATACTTTCTTCCTTCCTCAACATTTAAATTAGTTAAAGCAATAAATTTGTAAGCCATATTTTTTTCCTAATTATACAGTTATTTAGTTATTTTTGCAAAGAATATATATAAGAGATGATGAGTGAAACTTTATTGTATATGCAGGCATATATTTAATGGGAATAAAAATGAAAAGATTGGTTTATTTGTTACTTATATCACCCCTATCAAAGAATAATTTATAAAGATTAAGAAAATTATTTAATTTAGTTATTTATAAAAAAAATGTGTTAGTTTTCTAAAAGGCCTTCTTTAATAATTTATTATTAAAATTGCCAAAAACTCCTTTAATACCTAAGATCATAAAATTTGAAAGAGAGAGTGAATAGAGATTTTAGCTTTAAGATCAAAGTAACCTTTTTAACTGGTTTTTATATTTAGTAGAAGTAAAATTGTACAAGTTAACCTATGTTTTTATTCTGGATTTAAATTACATGAGGTATGCCTTAGGAACAAGGTCAACATCATCTCTCACTACCAAGAGGCAAGAATCATCAAGACATCACTATCATGCCATTAATTATGAGCTCATCGAAAATAATCCTTAGTTTGCACGAATGTTGTATACTTCAACATCCATTCAATTCTAATCACCACATCCATCATTGAATATGGATGCTTCATGTTATAGCCATCACATTGAAACAAGAGAAACCACCTTAGGCTTCAATGATTGTACAACTTTAACCTCTTGACATAAATATTGGAACCATTTTGGTGGTACTCATCCATAGTGTGTAACTTTCACTTGTTCTATATATCCCTTCTTTCTTTATTCAACCAAAAGAGTGAAAAATAATAGTAATTTTGCAATCATGTTGTAACTACAAACGAAATATATATATATATAGGAAATTAAAATTATGGGAACCTTTTTTTTACTAGGCATAAGTATTTTTCTATTGAAGATAATCTTATTAGAGGTAAATGTGGGGACCTCTCCTAACAAAGACTTGGACATTGGCTAGTACCTTTTTGCTGGATCTAACCCTTGTTGGTTGACAATTAATCCTTTGATGCCTATATTTTTCATTTAATTATAACCGATCCTTATAATTTTGATTTGATTATAACACAATCTTTGGACCTTGACTTGATACAACTCATCATCACTTAACTTTGACTTAATATAATTGATTAATTTCTATAGTTTTAAGCATTTAAGACTTTGGTCCCTATATTTTTAAAAAACTAAAATTATATATTTTATAAAAACTTAAGGGCTAAACTTGTAAATAGTTAAAATTATGGGGATTGACTCATATCAAAGTAAAAGTTTAGATACTGAATTACAATTGAATTAAATATTAACGACCAAGTTACATTGAGTGAAATTTTGAGAATTAAAATACAATCAAGTCAAAATTATACAGATCAAAAGATTAATCTTTGTTTTTTTCATAGAAACACACACAAAAGATTGCCATAGGGTTAGTTTGGTCGAGAGGCTGAAAGATTTAAAGATGAATATAACTCTAAGACGTATTAATTAAATAAAAAAAAGTGAAAAGCATTTAGTGGTATTAGGCCATTTTCTAGGACCATTTTATAAAATGCCCATTTTAGTTGGAAACATTGCTTCTCTCTCACTTTTCCTTTGCTTAGATATTTTCTAATAATTCAATTGAAGGAATTGACATGACTAACGATGGCATACTAATGAGTCTTCTTTATTGTCAAGCCATCATTTGTTATCATGGCCTTTTAATCAAGGAGTTTTTACATGGAGGAATCAATCTATGTTAGGACTATCTTTTTTCACCAAGTGTTTATGAACTACACTTTTCCTGGATTTACAAGTCTGATTTAATAAATGCAAGATCTAAGTAGTTATTATCCATTTATTGTATTCAAAAGTTCTTCATTCGTATCCTCACAGATTCTCCTCATATATTCTCTATCACCTAGCTAGCAAGAAGTTTTGTCACTACTGTAGGATTTTTTTCATAAATTTGTCAAAGTTGTGTCCTTACCTTTTTTTCTTGGGTTTCTTACCAATTCTACTTGCACTTTAACTCATAATACTATGTAAAACTCTTGTCTTTTTAATATCATTTTGTCATATTTCCAAAAAAAAAGAGTGCATAGTACTGTTCTAATGGTTTCATTAAAGTCATTAATTAATTATTTTAGGTATTTGGATTATGAAAAGTAATACTAGCAATCTTTTTTCTAAGATCACTATCATGTTTCATAATATAACATATAACATGTCTTGTTTAAAAGAAAAATGACCAAAAAGTACTTACTGAAATTGAAAAAGACAAAAAGGTCAGCCAAATAAATAAAATGACCAAATGGGCATGAGGTATTAATACGGGATTTACAAGTTTTGATGAAATGACTAAAACACCCCTAAAGTGAGAAAAATAAGCAACTGAATGTTTTCACAGTATACCAACACATTAAAGAGCTAGAAAAAAGAAGTTTAGAGCAATACTTGAAAGCCATAAAGAGGAGACTATAAGTAATTTCTCTTTCAAAATGCTATTATCTTACTCCTATAACTGCCACAATTATGCAAATATTGTTCATTTGGATGGGCTTTGCTTGTGGGCAAGTAAATTTGTAGTAAGAG